CACATTGCACTTGTGAGATTAGATTCAGAACCACGGGAGTCCGAACGGTAGGGCTTTTTTTCAAGTTTCCAAAAAGAGGCGCGAAAAAGCCGAGCTACAATGATAGAGTCCTCCCTAGCTAACCTTATCTGAACATCGGCTGGGATAGAAAACTCTCTTCTAAAATACTCAAGTTTTTCTGAGGTGTCTACCCTCCACCTAAACATACCCATGGTGTCAGCTTAAATGAAGACTGGTGTAATATTTCAGAAAATAATGATTGGAATGGGTTTAATGACCTCGGCTAAACCCTAAACAGGCACTGGAGCTATGGTTTTTGCAGATCTAAGGGGAATTTGCCTCAGTTTTTCCTAACTATTTGGTTTTTGGGCAAATCCCAAACCTAAAAACTAAGCATGAAAACAGAGATACAAGGAGAAGATCTGGAAATAAGCAAGAAACAAAAAAAAGAACATGATTCAGAATCAAGAGAGCAACATGAATTCAAGAAACACTGAGTATGTGTGTGCAGATGTGCAAAAGTCAAGTGCAGTGACAAATTGTTAAAACATCAAATTTATGAACACTGCGTACGTGTGTACAGGAACCACGAACAGTGTGTACAAACACAAAGATAAATTGAACAGCACAAATCACAGACAAGCACGTTTGGCATTCCAATAACCAGATTCAAAGCACAGCAAAGATTTAAAAAACAGAAAACAGATTCAATGGCGACATATGGGGCATGTAAACAGACACAATGAAAAACTATATGGCTAAAAACAGTACAAGTTATTCGAAAAGATGAATAGAGGTACGAATAGAAATCAAGGACTTACCGATTGGAGCCGAAGAAGGTGACACCGGAGTGAGTTATGCCGGTGTCAGACGACTCAAACGATCAAAGTTAAATAATGAAAGATATGTCGGCGGTGATAGAAGAGGTAGTTGTAGAACTTCGAAGGTATAAAAATGGAGGTTTAGGAAATCTTTAGAGAGAGAAACTCTAAAAGTCAAGAGAATGCAGGAATGTGAAATGAGAAGACAAAGAAAGAGAGAAAGAGTTTTGTTAAAACTGAAAAGGTGGCAAAATGAAATGAATACGCCTTGGATGACATGCTTGTTAGGTGGCGTGAGCAGAAGCGACGCGACTTAATAACACGTGTCAGGTATGAACCAGGGGGGAACAGACACATGGGCAAAACGGTTTAGGAGACCATGTGTGACAGCTCATGCACAACTAGAACTCTTGGAATTCTTGAAATAATGATACCATAACCTCGGCTAGAGGAGGATCCGGTTGAGATATTTAAAAAACTTGACTCTTGGTTCTTGATCCTTGATAAAGATGGACAGTTGAATCCTAAGTACTTGAAACCGATGAGTCATGATCTTAGTCGAAGGAAATAGTGAATTTTAGCCGACACAATATATGAATGAGCGATGTAGGTTTCATCACCTCAGAGTGTCGAGGTAATAGAACCTAGGGGACAGTTGTGGAGACATATTTTATGAATGACAGCACGTGGCCAATGTGATGCCGAAGTGTCAGCCGAGATGCCACGTGGCCTGGTCATGCACTGAAATGATCTTGGCTAGGCTGAGGTTATCTACGGAGATATCCGAATCCCAGATGAGTGAATAAGCGATAAGAGTCCTAGAACAAGGGAGGATCTCAGTCTGGAAAAAGATAAAACTCTTAGGCAGTTTATCTCTATTTAGCTGAGAGTCCAGGATGAGTATTGAGTCTTAGTCCACTGAAGTGAGACTTCTACAAGGATCAGGTCAGTGTTGACTATAAAAGCAGAGTACCCCCGTGGGTCTGAGATATGTGTGATATACGGTGAGCAGTAAGTGCTTTAGTGTGAGTTTAAGCACAATTTGCTATTTTTTAGAGATATTTGATTACTGACTTGATTGTCGGAGTGTCCTCGGGTGGACAAACCACCGCTAGATTCTTATCTTTCTTTGACAAGTTGTACGGGCTCAATCTATTCTACCGATACTCTCCAGTTGAGTTCTCCGTTTGGTTATGTGGTCAAAAGTCAATAACCACACCTACATAGAAATTAATGGCTAAAATATTATAAAAAAAAAAATTCAATTTAACTTAACAAAAATAGATAAATAGTTTAAATTTAAAACACATTAAAATATTAGAGTTTAAATTGATAAAATTAAATACGATTTATTTTATTATAAGAGTCAAATCTTATATTTTTTCTGAAATTTCTCCAAATTTTTTATACTGAACCATTAGTAAGTGACAATTTTGATATTAAAAATTATTATTATTATTATTATTTTGCTTTTATATCATTATCCCAAGTAAAGCTACATAACAGAAGACAGCTAGTTTGGATCCGGAGCTCTGGAGAGTTTGTAAAGGACGCAGTTGAGCTGATCCAAAGTAGCGCTCTATAAAAATTGTCCGCACACACACAGAGGTCAAAGACAGTATTTGATTGGAAGAATAGAGCGCTCAGCCAACCCATCTTCGGGTAAGCAAACAAATGTGCGAATTTGCTAATCAACCTATGAGCAGAGCAAGAGGAGGAAGACGTTTTAATGATTAAGGACTCACCTGAAGCTGTCATATCCATCTTTACCGATAGATATCTGACATTGGTTTGTTGGTGTTTTAAATGATAAATATTGGGATGATGAAAATTTTTTTATGAAAATTATCATAAAAAATTTATGATCCTTAAATTATCTTGATTAGTGTGAGGTGTTTTATTGTAAGTGTAATTCAAAGGTCACAAATCTTTCATAATGATTTTCATGAAAGACTTTTCATGATACCTAATATTGTTGGTTTTAAATTAGGAAAAAAATTTATTAGAATACATTCATGAGTAGTGTTACTCAAATTCAAAAATTAAATTTATTTTTTAAGTTCAATGATCAATCCATATCTCATGTGCTATTTATCACATTTTTATTATTAATTATCAATCAATCATCTCACTTATATATATTATTGAGTTTAAAAAATATGTTTAAAAAGTGGATTTATATATTATTTTTCTATACTTATTTATTTTTGGTAAGTAATCGAAAGATAAAAAAAAAAAATACTGTAGTTGATTTCTCATTAAAGTAATCATATAAACAATATCATGTGATATTTCTAAACTATCTAATAATTTTCTTTTCTAATAGTTACTAGCATAATACCCGTGCTATACACGGGTTAAACTATCTAATAATTTTCTTTTCTAATAGTTACTAGCATAATACCCGTGCTATTCACGGGTTAAAATTAATAATTAAAAATTACTTTTCAAATTAAATTATAACAAAAACTTTGCTTATAATATAAAAGAAAATTTATTTAACAGTAATTAGTTCCCATATAATAATTATATTTACGATAAAATATAAATATATTTTGTCTTAATGAATTTCGTAATTTTAATTTTTCAATTTACCAATTATATCATATCTATTATGTAAAATTAATTACCTTGTTTATTTTGTAGAATTCAATCAATCAAAGTTGAAGGATAAATAAATAAATAGAAGGAAAAAAAAATAGAGTAACAATGACCCCAATCTTTAACTCACTCCTTAAATAAGACTTCGATGACTTTGATCCTTCTAGGCCGCTAGGTATAATCTCTAAAACAATCTAATTAAATATCAGTTAATTATATTTATTAATTTTTTAGAGGCTAGACCAATTGAACATTTTGCAAATCCTAAAGCTATTTTCTTAATTTGATCACCACTATAGATCATATTTAATTTTTTATTTTTTATATTTTGTAATTGTTTTATATTAAAAAAATTTAGAACTAATATACTAAACAAATAAATTAAACTGAATATGTATATAAAACAACTTAATTTTAGCTCATAGACCTAAGTTTTTCATTGTGTATTTAATTAAAAATGTGTTAGACCATTTTAATGACTAGTACCTAAACCTCCATGTTTATGCAGTGGGTAGCTTAAGTCAGAATAACTACTTGCCCTATAGTTATTGGTTCAAATAAAATGTAATGTATATACTATATATGAATTAAGAAAGTTTTATCTCAAATTATAGGTGAAGCTCAATCTGTCATCATAGGTGGTAGGAACATTTTGGATGGGGTGTTGATATCAAATGAGATAATTGATTGGTGGAAGAAAAAAAGAAGAAGGGGATAATTCTTAAACTGGATTTCGAAAAGGGTTATGACACTGTTAATTGGGGCTGTCTTTTGGATTTAATGTCGAAGTTCGGCTTCCAAGATAAGTGGACTAGATGGATGAAGGAGTGCCTATCCTCAGCAAGGGTTTCAATTCTTGTCAATTGTTCTCCTACGGTAGAGTTTAGTCCAGAGAAGGGTCTTAGACAAGGGGACCCCTAGTCACCTTTCCTCTTCAACATTATGGCGGAAGGCCTGAATATGCTCTTCCAAAGAGCCAGATCTTTGGGTTTCATAAAAGGAGCTGCAATTGGACATAGGGAAATCAATGTTACTCACCTTCAATTTGCGGATGATACAATAGTTTTTTGTGAAGCAGATGAGCTTGAGATTCAAAATATAAAAAGGATTTTGAGGTGCTTTGAAGTGATATCGGGGTTGAAGATTAACTTTCATAAAAGTCATGTGTGCGGGGTTGGGGTCAATGAGGATGTTGGGGAACTTTTTGCGAAACAACTGAATTGTTTGTGCCAAAAACTACCTTTTATGTATCTTGGGTTGCCATTGGGCGCAAGTCCAAGGAGGAGAAGTACTTGGTTGCCTGTAATTAACAAATTCAAGGCTAAATTAGCTTCTTGGAAAAGGAAGCTTCTATCCTTTAGAGGCAGATTAACACTTGTTAAAGCAGTGTTATCATCTCTACCCATCTTTTATCTTTCAGTTTTTAAAATGCCTAAGAGTGTCGTAAGACTACTTGACAGGATCCAGGCCAGATTCTTGTGGGGTGGCTCAGAGGTAAAAAAGAAGTTGCATTTGGTCAAATGAGAGGAGGTTTCAAAGAACAAAGACACTAGGGGTTTGGGCATTAGGAAGTTAAGGATGGTAAATGAATGTTTGTTAGCTAAATGGTGGTGGAGATATGGTTCTGAAGATAGGTCATTGTGGAAGTCTATCTTAATTAGCAAATATGGCAGCGCTAGTGGAAAATGGCTTCCATTCACTGAGGATGGTCAACAGAGATCGAAAATTTGGGGTGATATTCTCCATATGGCTGTTAGTAACACTCAACTCTACAGTTTCTATGTGGCAAACTGTGAAATTCAAGTGGGGAATGGAACTAGAATCAGATTTTTGGAAAACCATTGGATTGGTGAAAAATGTTTCAAGGAGGAACATCTAAGGCTATTTGAGCTGTCGTTGGAGCAAGAGGTCCCTCTGTCTCATCTAGTTGAAAGGAAAAGAATCACATCAAGATGGGACCTGAAGTTTAGGAGGAGATTGAGGGTTTGGGAGGAACTTGAAGTTGTAAGACTCATGGATAAGTTAAATAGCAATACCCCATGTTTGACTGAGAAAGCTGATGCTTTGGTTTGGAAGGCTTCATCAAATGGTATGTTTAGCACTGCTGCTGCTTACAATAAACTTACATCTGGGCAGGTTTTACCAGCCACTGAGTTTATTTGGAAGAACGTGTCGCCACCAAAGGTTAAATTTTTTTGCTGGCTTGTTTGGAAAGGTAAAATCAAATCAAGAGCATATCTTCAAAGCTTAGGGCTGCTGGATCAAAATACCAGGTCTGATTGTGTTTTTTGTAATGAGGAATTAGAATCTTTGAACCATGATATGCTATTGTGTCCTGTTGTTTGGCAAGTATGGTCAAATCTGCTAAAGTGGTGGGGGATGCAATGGGTTTCTCCTCAAAATGTTATAGGTTTGCTAGATTGGTGGAGAGTGTTTAAATGGAGGAAGGTCGAAGGCATAATCTGGAAGGTCATCCCAATGACCACTCTATGGTCTATTTGGAAGATGAGGAATGAGTGTGTTTTTAATGGGAAACAACCTTTGATAGTGGAGCTGTTGGAACTAATTAAGACAAGAGTCATCTTATGGTTTAAGGCTGATTCAAGCGATTGTTTCTACTCAGTGCAGGAGCTGGTGTCAAATTTGCAGCATGTTAGGAAGATTCTATGCTAGAAGGTTGGCTTGAGTGCCAAGTGGTGACCTGGTGTACTGGGTCTGCTGTCTTGATCACTTGTGGATTGGTTGGCAGTGGTGGAGTTGTGTTGTAAGTCCTTTGTTAGCATCGGAGTCTTGTGTGCTTGGCTTGGGTGTCCTACTACTGATATGCTATGCTTGGTTGATGGTCTGTTTTTAGCTAGAGTTTTGTTGCTCTGCTCTGTGCTTTGTTGCTCTGTCCCTTAGTAGAATGATCAGTTATCTGTGGTGTATCATTGGGGCCATTTCTAGAAACAATCCTATATATACAGCATGTTACCTCCACTGGCTACTTAGCTGTGTTATCTGTCCTTGAGTCATATATATACAACATGCAATCTCCACTAGTTACTTAGCAAACTAGAGAGGTGTATCATTGGAGCTGTGTACTACTAATGCTGTTGCTGTAAGCTAATTTGGTGTTATGCTAATTTGGTATTCCATGATATAATAATTTGAGGCTGTATGCTAGAGAGGTGTTCCTGCTGCTGTAAGCTGATTTGAGGCTACCTCTAGATATAGTGTTATGCTAATTTGGTGTGCCTGCTACTGTATGATAATTTGATGTTTGCTGATTAGGAGTGCAGGTTGAGGCTATATACTACTAATGCTTAAGGCTGTATGCAACTGATAGTGTTGCTGTTGTTGTTGCTAGAGGAAGAACAGCCGAAGTTTTCTGTCATGGTCTAATCTGCAAGGATCTGGTGAGTAGCAGCTGCAGGGAGTTCAAGTAACATCACAAACTAGGTGGGAGGTCTGCATCTGGGTTGGAAGAACTCACTTTGGGCTGCACAGCAAATGTTGCTGATATATGCTACTGTCCTAAGGCATACAATAGCTGTTGTATGACTCTAGTGTTGCTAGGAGTTTGCAGCTATTCTTGGTTATAAATTGCTTGTTAGAGTGCATAGCTACATTGGAGTTCTGGTGTGGATATTCTGTTGTTGGTTGCATAATGTCTGGTTGATGCTTTTGGAGAGTATCTGTTTGCTTGTTCCCTCTCTGTAGGCTGTGTGGTTGGGTGGTGTTTAGAATGCTACTGATGATGTCTGCTGCTGGCGTAAGGGTCCATTTTATGTTGCTCTTCTGATAGAGTGCATAGGGGAATCTCTGGGTGCTAGCAGACGTGGCTACCTTGGAGTAGGAGTTGGAGGAGGTGTTGGCAGATTAGGAAGGTTGTGTGGTTGGGTGGTTTTATTTCTGCTTTCGTTTTTTTTCGTTGTTTTGGATTGGTTTCTCGACAATCTGTGGGCTTTATGCTAGCAGATGATTGTACTTCCTTCTTGGTACCAACCTAGTTAGGATTTGGGAGTGTTAGCTATGATACTTTTTGCACTTCCCTCCTTTATTGATATATTTTGTCGCTTGTTATGCTCATCTCATCAATGAAATTTCCCTTTTTAGCTGATCAAAACAAAAAAAACAAAATATATATATATATATGAATTTATAAAAAAAATTCTCATTTGTTAATAGATTTATGCATAATCCACATTTCAAATAAGAATTTTATAAAATTTTAAGAGTCAATCACAAACTTTAAAAAAGAAAGGATAAATTACACTGACACCCCCTGATATTTTTGTTTAATACAAATCCCCCTCACATTTGAAAAATTACACTTACCCCCTGTCAGATAAAAATGACATATTTGCCCCTTAACCTTTATACATATGAAATAATAAAATAATGTTGATATTTTGTTCATTCCGTTTCAAGGGAAATAACAATCATCTTTTTTGGTTTAACTCACACAAAAAATTGAGTTTTTTTTTTTAATTTTTTGTGTTTTTTTATTTTTACTAATTTTTTTTAATATTTAAAGCAATTTTTTTTATTTCTTATATACATCTAATCTAGACAAAATTAAGAAGTATAATATTTTGCGATTTTTTTTTTAAATTCACCAAATACAAAAAATATAAAAATTCAGTAATACATTAATAAATGTGAATGACGGTATTTGGTAATACTATAATAAGGCCAAGTTTGGCATGTGCCCAAAAAGCCAAAAGTTGAAAAGTTACTTAAAAAGTTAAAAAGTTATCAATATTCACCAAAAGTCAAAAAGTACGGCTGCACAACTCTCAATCCTAATTTTTCCATACACACTAATTTATACAATTTTTTAATACACATTTTTTCATAAAAAGTCAAAAAGTTAACCCAAACAACCATATTTTTTTCCTCAAATTTTTAGTCCAAAAAGTCAAAAAATGCACTTGTTTAGGACATCCCAAACAACCCCTAAATGTTGGTGACAAACAAGAAAGAAAAATGATAGTAGAAATAAAAATGAAAAATTATATTCATATATAAAAATTTATACAAAAAATACCATAAAAATGTTGTGATAGTGATATTGTTGTAAATATAAATCGTATTTATAGTGTGTTTTGTTTTAAAGTGAAAGGTCACCATTACACTATATCATTGTCTTTAAAAATTTTATATAAAATTTATGTTTGTATATCATCAGTCAATAAGAATATGCTCAGGTATAATTTAATGATAGAAAGTTGTAGAATGTAATCAAGATGATAGGAACAAGAAATTGTAGGAAAAATGACAAAATGGTCATTTAGAAAATTTTAGGGCAATCTAAGGAGCAATTTGTAATGAGATTACAAACTTCAAGGAGAAAAATATAATTTTTCAAACGTGAGGGAGGAATCTCTATTAAACAAAAATCTCAGAGGTGTCAATGTAATTTACCAAAAAAAAATGGACATGATACAATATGTATGAAATGACCTTATTAATAAACTATTTTTATTAATAAATTTTATACTTAATCAGATAGTTCTTCTACCATTTGAAAATTTAATATTTATGAATAAATTTAATATTTTCAACTACTCCTAACATTTTTCACATTTAATATTTATGAATTTATGTAATTTAAAATTTGTATACTTTATTAAAACTTTTAACATTACAAAATCAATAATTAAGTTTTATCAAATATGCTTTAAATCTAATCATCAACCTATTTTTTAAGCAAAATTCTCTCATTCAGAATTTTGGCAAATATTTATTTAAAAAAACTATTCACATGATAATGCACCATATTCATGGTCATTATTTTCAAATACTCTTAACCTAAATGCACCTTGTATTTATTAAACTTTGTTTAATATTTGGCAAGACCCATATAATGGTTATAAATTGAAAGTAAAATTTTAAAATATTAACTTAAAATAAGTTGTAAATTTATTTTGTGCAATAAACCTTTTGATGATCTATATAACGTTTTTATTGTGTAAATATTCATAATGCCTCAAAAATTATTACTAAGATGAAAGATATGAGACTTTTATGTTCATATGTATTCAAGGGTTTCTAAAATTTTATATTTTTTTTTTAGATGTTACAAATTGTAGTTTAAAAAACCTCTATTTTTTAGCCAAATAAACTATAAAAATGTCAAATAAATTATAATTTAAAATTACAACCAAATAAACTTAGTCACACAATAAAATAAAACATAGTATAATATAAAAATATAATAAGTATAACATTATTCAAAAAAAAATGCACCAACTATAAAATCTAAAAATTAAAAGTAAACCATAAAGAAATTTTGAAATATGAAATCACGAAAATTACAAAACATAAATGCATAAGTAATATTATAACCATATGGATCCTCTAGAAGAAGAAGCTTACAATAATAAAATTTTGTTACTGGCTATATTGTAAATAATTATGCATATTTTCTCAATAACCTCTGTCGTCCATATTTATACACTTGATAAGGATCCTCCAGAAGAAGAAGCTTACAATAATAAAAATTTGTTATTGACTATATTGTAAATAAATATGCACATTTTCTCAATAACGTCTGTCGTCCATATTTATACACTTGATAAATATAGATTTTAAACCATTAAACTGTGACCGAAGTGATTGGAGATTTATTTTATAAAAATACACTTAGATTAAATAAGCATGTGATAACTTTTTAGAAATTAACATAATTGTTAGATGCATAATAGAAATAAGGATGCGAGAGACTAAAGATTATAAATTGATCTTTATAAAATAAAATAAAAAAACATAAACTTACAGTGAAAAAATTTATCAATTGAATTTTTCACAATTACTCCCATCACCAACAGTTACAACACTTGATGAGTACCGACTCTAATTTGACTTGAATCCAATGAGTGCAAGAGAGAACATTTATAGGAGATGTGAATTGCTTCTCATGATTTGTGATACACAATTTTAAAATTGATTTAGTGTTCTTTCCTTTTAAAAGTCATAAATTATGAGAAAATTAGATTTTTTTTTTTTTTTAATGGTTTGATGGCATACTTTTGAATTTTGAAATGAGTTAGTATACTTTCCTTTTAAATTTCATAAATCATTAGATAGTTTTATTTTTATTGTTGAAAAACTGTTACCCACGAGAAATTTTTTTTAAATTTCTATTAATAAATAAAAATTAATCAAGAAATTTAGTATGTGGAATTGAAAATAAACAAAAATAAAAATAATTTTGATTTTTTTTAAATGTAATTTTGAAAGCTTACTATATTGATTTTTGAAAGGTACATTATTATAAATTTTGAAAAAGATTTCTATATTAGTTGTAGCATAAATAACGTGACCATTTGAAAGATTTTTTTATAAATTTTAGATTCTATTGAATTGTTTATCATATTTAATGACACATAATTTTAATCTTGAAATGGGAAAACGTATATATATATATAAATCATAAATTATGGAATAATTAAAGTTTTTTATGATTATAATTAGATTTTAGTAAATTGCTTCCATATTAGTGGCACACAAATTTAAATTTTGAAAAAATGAGCATACTTTCCTTTTAGAAGTCGTAATTTACGGAATAATTAGAGTTTAGTTGTTATAGTTAAATTAGAGCTAACCAATAGATTTTTAAAAAAATAAAAAATAAATAGAATTTAGTGAATTGCTTCCATATATTGGGTAGCTGTTAAACAAAAAAGATAACTCTTCCCGAGGTCCCTGTCGATGTCTCTGGACCCCCTAACGTTGCTGTCAGCCGCCACATCCTGATTCAAGAATTTTAACTCGATTCCCTTTCGAAGTGCGTGTTGAATGCGCTCTCTGTCGGGCTTCCCCCGACTTTTAGGATTGACTAACCAATGCACAAGTGTCGTTCATATGGAACCTTTCCCCTCTTCGGCCTTCAAAGTTCTCATTTGAATATTTGCTACAACCACCAAGATTCGCAACAACGGTCGCTCCGCCCAAGCTTGTGCCCAAGGTTTTGCAGCACACGCTACACCTTCCTATTCATCGGGGCCTGACACTTGCCCCGACGGCCAGGTATAGGTCGCGCACTTAAGTACCATCTATTTTCAGGGCTAGTTGATTCGGCAGGTGAGTTGTTACACACTCCTTAGCAGATTTTGGCTTCCATGACCACTGCCATGCTGTCTTAATCGACCAACACCCTTTATGAATTCTAGGTCACCGCGCAATTAGGCACTGTAACTTGACTTCCGGTTCATCCCACATTGCCAGTTCTACTTACCAAAAATGGCCATTTGGAGCTCTCGATTCCATGGTAGACCAGCCGCACTGTCCTAGCTATTTAAAGTTTGAGAATAAATCGAGGGCGTTGCGCCCCAATGCCTCTAATCATTAGCTTTACCTTATAGAACTCGTTCACAAATTTAAATTTTGAAATAGTTGAGCATGCTTTCCTTTTAAAAATCATAATTTATGAAATAACTGGAATTTTATTGTTATGATTAAATGAGAGTTTAACCAATAGAATGTTTTTTATTATTTAAAAATCATAAAATCATAAAATTTAGTTTGAGGGTTTAGAACTTGCACAAGCCTTATCATTAGAAATCCTTTTTGCTTATATAATATATAGATTATGTATTTCATATTGGGAGAAAATGTATTTCAAAAAAAAATTACAAATCAATGGTAAACTTAGTCAGTTTTAATAATTAAAATTATAATTTTTTTCATAAATTTATAAATATTTTATGAAAATATCACTGATTTATAGGGACGGACTGACGAAGGGACTATCAGGGGCCACGGCCCCCCGCTTAAAAAAAAAGAAATTTACTAGCATATATATCTTTTCAATAAAGTGTTAATAATATAGTAAAATGGCCCCTGCTTTGTTTTGTGGGCTGGGCTCAATCTATTCGTTCGATGGCTAGGGCCATGTGCCTTCTTTAAGTATTATAAAACAAAAAAAAAAGGGCTGAATAGAAACAAAAAAAGAAAAAAAAAAAGAAGAAAGAAAGAAAACCTAATTGCTATGACTTGCTCTACGCCGTCTCAATTTATTGAAAGCAAGCATAGGATTTTTTTTTTTTTTGAGTTAAATCAACTTGGGATACATACCAAAAAAAAAAGTCTTGCTTTTGCTATTAATCTTCTCATTATTACAGGTATGTGATTCATATTCTCTTTTATTATTATTTTCAATTTGTAATACTTTTATTATCTTTTTTTTTTAATGTCCTGTTGATACAATTGCAATTTTTTTAATTTTACATATTAAGAAAAAAAAATATCCTGAAAATCCTCCAACAAAATCTCAAAAAATTGATGTCAAAGAAAATGATATTGGTTCATTGGAGCGAGATCCTGGATTACGTATACAGATTTGGGATTATCATGTTAATCAACGTGATGAAATTCAACGAGGTTATATTAAGGCTATACTTTCACAGTATCCGAAATCTGGATCAACAACTCATCTTCGTAGCTTTCAACTGTCATGGTTCAAACTATTTCCGTCATGGTTGCAATATTCACCTACAAAAGATGCAGCTTTTTGTTTACCATGCTTTCTTTTTTATAAACCATGTGGATCTGGATACGATGGGCAACAAGCATTCACTGTTGATGGATTTCAAAATTGGAAGAAAGTTAGGGATGGAGCAAAATGGGCTTTTTTAAATCATATAGGAAAATATCCTAATTCTTTTCACAATGTTGCCGAGAGATCATGTGAAGACTGGATGAATCAATTTCAACATATACAAAAGGTATTGGACAATTTCACTTCTAAACAAATTGTAGATAATCGACTAAGATTGAAGGTCTCAATTGATACAATCCGATTGCTTGCATTTCGAGGTTGTGTTTTTAGAGGTCGTGATGAAAGGCCAAATTCAATCAATCGTGGAAATTTTCTTCAAATAGTGAAATTATTGGGATCATATAATGATAATGTTGCTAAAGTATTGGATAAAGCTCCGAAAAATGCCTCTTACACATCACCAAAGATTCAAAAAGAAATTTTACATATTTTCTCAACCAAAGTGAAGAATGCAATTCGTGAAGAAATTGGTGATGCAAAGTATTGCATAATTGTTGATGAAGCTCGTGATGAGTCAAAGAATGAGAAAATGGCTATAGTTTTGAGATTCATTGACAAAGATGGTTTTGTGAGAGAGCATTTTTTTGGGCTTATTCATGTCTCTAACACTGCTGCATCAACCCTAAAAGATGGAATATATTTTGTATTGTCTCATCACAATTTAGATATTCAGAATATTCGAGAACAAGGACACGATGGTGCAAGTAATATGCGAGATGAGTGGAAAGGATTACAAGCATTAGTTTTGAATGATTGTCCATATGCTTATTATATTCATTGTTTTGCACATCGTTTGCAGTTGGCTTTAATGGCAGCATCAAAAGATGTTATCCCAATTCATAAATTTTTTCCTAAATTGACTTTTGTTATCAATATTGTTGGTGTCTCATGCAAGCGCAATGATGAATTGAAAGTTGCGCAAGCTGCTGAAATTGAACATATTATTGACATTGATAAGCTCGAGACTAGAATGGGACTTAACCAGATTGGCACTTTACAATGAGCTGGAGATACTCGTTGGAGTTCTCACTTCAAGTTAGTTTCAAGCTTAATAAAAATATTCAATCCAACATGTGAAGTTCTTCTTAACATCATTAATGAAGAAACGACTTCTACCTAACAAGGAGATGCAGACTCAACTTATGAAACATTGACTTCATTTGAATTTGTCTTTATTTTGCATCTCATGAAAGAAATGTTGGAGATCACTGATTTACTTTGTCAAGCTTTGCAATGCCGATCTCAAGACATCCTAAATGCTATGAATCTAGTTTCATCTACCAAGGCACTTCTGCAAAAGTTTAGAGATGACAAATGGGATGCTTTACTAGCCAATGTGCAATCATTTTGCGAGGTACGTAACATAGATGTCCCGAATATGAATGCTCCTTATATTAGAAGAAGAGGTCGAGCTCGTGATCATCAAGATGACTTTACATTTGAGCATTATTATTGAGTAGATATTTTTTATGCTACAATAGATTCTCAACTACAAGAATTAAATGAACGGTTCAGTGAACTTGCAGTAGAGTTGCTTATTCTTAGCTTAGCTTTAGATCCTCGAGATGTGTCTAAAACTTTTAGAATCGACGATATTTGTCGATTAGTAGAAAAGTTTTATCTACAAGACTTCAAAGATCAAGAGAAAATACTGTTGAGAATGCAACTTCACCATTACGAGCATAATGTAGTTCAGCATGCAGATTACAAAAAATTGTCTACTATTTCTGAATTGTGTCAATGGTTGGTAAGGACAAACAAATCTATGATTTTACAACTTATTTATAGAGTGATTACACTTGCTCTTACTCTTCCAGTTTCTACTGCAACTACGAAGCAATCATTTTCAGCCATGAAAATTGTCAAAAGTAGACTTCGCAACAAAATGGAAGATGAATTTCTTACAGACTCTTTGTTTGTGTACATTGAAAAGGAAATTGCTGAAAATTTTACCACAGAATCAATCATTGAAGACTTTCAAGATATGAAAGAACGTCGAGTTCCACTCTGATAGATGATTGAGTTGATTTGTATAAATAATTTTTTAATAAATGACTTTGCTTTTATTCATATATTAAATTTACTAAATATATGGTTTTATTTTTTACGTACTAATTTAATATTAAATTTTAGTTTACTTTTTGAATTCAAAAAAATAGTAATTTATATCAATTTATATCAATTCATATAAAAAAATTATTTATGTCTTGACTCCCTGCAAATGAATTCTTGATTCTGTGCCTGCTGATTTACAATTTTCCCTTCATATTGTACCCACCAATAACAAGACAATTCACAAAACACTATTAGACACGTAATTTATCATCGGATGTAGACTTGCTATAAACAACGGCTTATTTTGACAAGTATTTTTTTTTTTTTTAAAATGTGCAAAAAAAAAATAAAGAGTTAATGTGATCAAAAAAAATCAAAAAGTTAAAAAGTTGACTTTTAATCCAGTTGATAGTTTTTTTTTTATATTTAAATTAAGGTATTATTTGGCATAAACTAAATAAATATACTTATTTGGATTATATCACATTTCTACTTTTCTATACATCTTTCGTAAAAAATTAAAAAATATTCCAAACACCCCCCTAAATCAACGGTTAAAGGGTTAATTTTTTATACACAATAACTTGTAAAATAATGAATCAAATTACTTAAAAGTCAAGGATAATAACGTTAGATTCTCAACTAACAAAGACGTTTTGTGGCATTTCATGTAGTCCATTTACGTGCAAGACATAAAATTTAAATCAGCTTGTTTGGTTTGTGCAAGACACGTCAACTTAGGGTTGGTATGGGAAGTGAATTGGTTTTTTAATTATTTTAGGTTTCGTTTGGAAACAGGTTAATTTAGTAATTTTTTGGCTATTTAGCTAAAATATGAGTTAAAAAATACTAGTATGTTTGGGATGACTTTTTGACTTTTTATGAAAAGATGTGCAAAAAGTAGAGAGAAAAGAGAATCTTTAATTTTTTGGTATGTGTTTTTGGTTTTTTAGCTAATTTAGTAATTTTTTGACTTTTTGGCTAAAAAACAGGATTCCCAAACGAGGCCTTAGTTTGGGGTTAAAAAATTTTATTTGGGATAAATTTTATGACTTTTTTAATTTTTATAAGAGAAAAAATAAAATGATTATAGGTTGAATGAAATATTTTATATTATTAAACTAAAAAATTTATTTTATTTTTTTATAACTATTTTAATCAAAAAGTTTCAAATTAACTTCTGCCAAGCAAAGGCATAATAAGATTCTGCTAGGAGTTTTAGCGAACGATAGATATGCAACGAATATATCAATAGTAATATAATACTGCTCCGTACTATATTTTGTACGTCCATGTCTAATCATGGATGTAGGAATTACACTGGGGGAAATTGTTTGCAATTAAGATTGATAATAAAATTTTAATTATTTAATTCATAGCAACCCTCCCCTCCCCTCCCCTCCCCTCTGGTTCTGTTCGAACGAGGAAGAAGAAAGAAAAAAAAAATCAAAAAAACCCCCAAAACGACGTCGTTTTGGGGGGCTGCTGGGACCGCCGCCGAGAAGGGCGGTCGAGAATTCGGACTCTTAGTCACTACCCTCTACAAAATTATTACCAGTCCATTTTTAACCTATGCCCAATCACATCATGCCACCTTAAATTTTGGTTTTAAAATTCCAATAAGCTTGTTTGGTTTGTGCAAGACACGTCAACTTAGGCCCTTGGAGAATAAATTATTTTAATAATTTTTTAATTTTTTAATTAAAATATGAGATAAAAAATTAATATGTTTGGAATAATTTTTTGATTTTTTTTTTTTAAATGTGTAAAAAGTAAAGAGAAAAAAAAAATCTTTAACTTTTGATATAAGTTATAGGCTTTTTAGTTTTTTTTAGTAACATTTTGACTTTTTTTTTTACTAAAACACTTGCAAACCAAATGAGGACTAAGGCCAAGTTTGGGAAATTTCAAATAATCCATCTTTTTATCTTTTTTTCATCACATCACCTCTCTACTTTTCTGTACATCTTTTCATAAAAAGACAAAAAAATACACTTATTTAGGTCATCCCAAACAACCAGTCGCTGCTCTCTACAAAATTATTACCGGTCCATTTTTAACCTATACCCAATCACGACATGCCACCTTAAATTCTAGTTTTAAAATGTTAACTCGTTTGTTTTGAGTTTTCTGAATTTATTTTTCAGAAAATTAAAAAGAAAAATTCATGCTCTTTTGTTTTCATTGAATTTTTTAATATTTTGAGCAATTTTTTAAATTTTTAAATACATCTAATATTAATACACTTAAAAAATATTATATTTATGAAAAAAATATTTAAAAAATTTACTAAATACCAAAAATACAAAAAATAGAAAAAAAAAATCAATACATTTTTATGTATTTTTTAATTTTTTTAAAATATATTTTTACAAATATTTTACTTTTTAGATATATCTAAGTAAGGTGCATTTAAAAAAATATTAAAAAATTACTTAAAATTTTAAAAATATTCACTAAAAATAAAATTAAAAAATACAAAAAACTTAATTTTCAAAAAATTAAACCAAAGTGAATACTATCCTTCCTTTCATCAGCCAAATTATTTTCATAACCTCAGCAATGCCACATGTCATACTATGATTAGTTACTGTATCTCTCACCATTGAAGGACCAAATCACATATTGGGGAGTAGAGTGTCCTAAAATAAACGAACTATATCCCGCTAAAATCGTGAAGGCACGACACCTACGACCAAGGACCACCTTAGGCAAAACAAAAGTCTCCCCCTGTCTCTCTAGTCTCCAATTTGCCCCAACCAAAAAAACAGAAAAACACCCTCTTTCTCTCTCTCAAGTCCCATGCCAGCTTTGGAGGAAAGGGGAAGGTGTCCCTTTTTTTCCTGCAGCGTTCCTTCTTCTTTCTCTCTCTCTCAAAAGTGCCCTTATTTTGAAGGACATGGTCCAGTCCATGAGGAAATTGTGTCCAAATTTTGATAAAGAAGATGGGCTCGACACGGTCCTGGAGGTGCCCATACCGGAGGAGATGTTCACGAACATGGGCAATAATGCCGCCCTACGGTGGCAGAACATGCGGTCGTGGATGAGGGCTCAGCGTTCCGATAAGTCGGCTAACAATCAGGTGGCGGGAGGGTCTAGTGATCAGTTTATGCTGTTGCTTAAACTCATTGGCTCTCCTCTTATACCTTTCCAGGTCCAGACCGACCATGCCATGACTTTGCCCATTAAAGATGGCTCTATAGTAAGAACATATCATTTTTATCTACTCAGAAAATATAATAATATATGCATGCATTGAACTGAATCAATGAAATCTTAAAATCTCATAAATGATGTAAATTTAATAACATCACCACATTAATTTTGACATTTTTTAATACAAAAATACTATTTATCATCAGATTTATTTCATGTATTTATTTTAGTTTTTATGTGCATTTATATAATTTATGTAATAAAGATTATGTGTAGAACTCTCTCTGAAAATAAAAATAAAAAATAGTAAAAATTACCATATCACATGAGAAACTATATGATAGGTGAAAATTTTAATAAAATAATCTAGTGATATATAACATCCTCTTTTCTTTAATACTTACTGCATGGGTAAGAACATTTGACATTACAGTTACAATCATCACAATGTTACCAAAATCTTTTTAGGGATTTGTCGACAATAACTAATAGAAACGTGTCGAAATTTCAATTTCTCTATCTCTACGATAATGTTACACTTATCATATTTATATTTTATATTATTCTTACTATTTTATTTATTAATGCAATGTTGTGTAATAAGTTTCATTACTAATAATGTTTCACACATTTGATATCTGTGAATAAAAATTAGTCATAAAACACTCATTAGATGTGTCTCCCATGATGAGCAATGTATGACGACATTGAGTCACCATCGTGAATGTTCTGTAACTGATTTCTCCATACATAAAATTACTCAGTTAGCAAACTCTTGCCTCCTAGCTATAGGTGACTCTCATTAATTGAAACCAATGCATTAATATTAAAATTTAGCAAACTCTTGCCTCCTAGCTACAGGTGACTCTCATTAATTGAAACCAATGCATTAATATTAAAATTTCGTTTGTTTTGATGTAAAATAATTTACATTTCTTTTATTTTTAAGCGTTTAACTATAATTCTAAAAATATTTGTTTTGAAACAGTAATATGTTTTGCAATTTACCAATTGTTCCACCCTTCCCGCCCACTTTATCTACATCATATGAACACATACTATTTTCCCGTGGGCCCATGACAATCTCTCTGTCCCCTCTCTCTCAATTAGTTTAGGTTACAGCCAAATCATCAAATTTGGAAGTCGAAAAATAACTTACGCAATTGGAATCCGTAAGTTACTTTTCAGCCACTTGATAAATATATTTTACAGAAAAAATATTTTCCCAACTTATTATGTAACAAAATATAAAAAAATGAGAAAAATATTTTTCATAAGAATATTTTAAGGTAAAACAAACCGAGTCTAATTTTTAAAAATATATATAAATGCCTGTGTTTGAATTCTTCTATTTCTGTGAACACCAGGAAGCATCAACAGCAAAATATATAGTACAACAGTATCTAGCAGCAACAGGGGGACAATCAGTTCTTAACGCAGTGAATAGCATGTATGCAGTGGGACAGGTGAAGATGGTGTCATCGGACATTCACCAAAGCGGTGACACCGTGAATGCGAAGCGCAACTGTGAAGTGGGTGGGTTTGTGCTGTGGCAGAAGAATCCGGACTTGTGGTTCCTGGAACTGGTGGTTTCCGGTTGCAAGGTGAGTGCAGGCAGTGACGGTAAGGTGGCGTGGAGTCAGTCCTCCTCTTATCCTTCTCAGGCTTCTAAAGGCCCTCCTAGACCCCTTCGCCGCTTCTTTCAGGTAAGTCTTTCCATATTTTTTGCCAAGTCCCAAATCTCCCAATTTCAAAAAAAAAAAAAAAAATCATAATCACTGAACTGAACCATTAAAAATCTTGAAATTTAGTTATCTCAAGACATTGATCTAATGAATGTAAATGTTTTGAAATGTCAAAACCTAAGACCCCAGTCCATAGAAAGTCATGCCAATGGCCTATGAGAATTTTTTTTGGAACATCAACCATTTGACGTCGGATCTTAGAGCCATTTGCTTATATCTGGAGATCATCATGTCCCAATATTTTTATTTGATCTAAAGATTATTAGAAATGGGGATGATAATTTGTCCCACTCCCACTCTGATCTTATATTCCCTGCAAAGATTAAAAAACATGGGAGAGAATGAGATTTGCTTTACTCACCTTGTCCCTGAACCCAACCATACTGACCATACAATATCAGATAGTAATACTATTCAAAAAGTAACACAAATAATCCCTAACCATATTGAAAAGTAATACTATTCAAACCAACGTTCACTTAAAACTGACTGTTATATCAAACATTAACTAATTGGTGCTGAACTGAGATAAAAAAATAAAAAATAAAAAAGTTTTTGACGTGTCACCTGATATATGTTATGTACAATTGTAATGTCTTATAAATAGAATATATCAGCATGATGAGACTCAGCTCTGCTAAAAAAATGAGGATACAGCAAAAATGAGGATATATCAGTATGATGTATACATTTTTGTTTTTATTTTTTCGTGTCTTAATTATGTCTATGGAGACCAACTTTTACGGCAAATACCCATGCTTCATTCCTCCTAACATAAATTACTGTCAATTTGGTGATGTGAATAGGGCCTGGACCCCAGATCAACAGCCAACTTGTTCATAAACGCAGTATGCATAGGTGAAAAGTCCATCAACAATGAAGACTGCTTCATACTAAAACTAGAGACCAGTGCAGATATCCTCCAAGCACATAGTACCCCCAACACTGAAATTGTCCACCACACCATCTGGGGCTACTTCAGCCAGCGAACTGGGCTTTTGTTTTTATTTTTTTGTGTCTTAATTATGTCTATGGAGACCAACTTTTACGGCAAATACCCATGCTTCATTCCTCCTAACATAAATTACTGTCAATTTGGTGATGTGAATAGGGCCTGGACCCCAGATCAACAGCCAATTTGTTCATAAACGCAGTATGCATAGGTGAAAAGTCCATCAACAATGAAGACTGCTTCATACTAAAACTAGAGACCAGTGCAGATATCCTCCAAGCACATAGTACCCCCAACACTGAAATTGTCCACCACACCATCTGGGGCTACTTCAGCCAGCGAACTGGGCTCCTAATCCAATTCCAAGACTCCAAACTAGTGAGAATGAAAGCTTCCAGGAGAGACGAGAGCGTGTTTTGGGAGACAAGTATGGAATCATTGATCGAAGATTATAGATATATCGAAGGCATCAACATAGCACACAGTGGAAAAACTACAGCAACAATTTATAGATACGGACGTGCATTGAACCATAGGGCAAAGATTGAGGAGACGTGGAAGATTGAGGAAATTGACTTCAATATATGTGGTTTGTCCATGGATTGTTTTTTACCTCCTGCTGATGTGAAGAAGGAACACGAAATTGAAGAAAATGTCATGAGCTAGTTGTATTTGTTTTTTGCGAGCAAACATACAAAAAATTTTATTGGGCCAAGCTTCTCTCCGGTTCGAGATCGTGCAGGCTCACCATGAGTGCTGTTTCAAAGATCTGAACTGCTTAATACGTAGAACACATCAAATACTTCATTCTTGCAAAAAATCACATTAATCGGATAACGACAGCCACTTGATCAAATCATATTTCTATCAACGGTAAATAAGATTTTCAAAATAAATTGTTGACGGAAATTTGATCTGATTAATTATCTATCGATATCCAATCAACTTAAATTTTTGCAAGCATAAAATACTCAATAAGTTCTATGTATTGAACGATTCGAATTATTGAAATAGAACCTGTGGTAGACCACATGGGCCCAAACAACACGATTTAGTCCACACAGTGAACCGGAGAGAACTGATCCTTTTTATTATAAGTGAAAGTTGATCTGTATATATAGGTGCAGAAATTGAAAATTTTTTTTTTTTTTTTTTTGTCCTTTGAAGTTCATTCATTCTTAAGAAATTTGAAGGAGCAATTTTCTTTCAATACTTCCTTTAAATTTACCTTCTCCACACAAAAAGTAAAATAAAAAAATAAAAACCCTGTTCTGGCCGTTACTAATTGAACAAGCAAATGATCACATTGAAATTCCTTACTCACTTGATAATTCTCCCCTTTTTATTTGATTGTAGTTTTTTTTTTTTTTTTTTTTTTTGGTGAATAATATTTGATTGTGGTTGTTTCTTAGGAATGCCTTGAAATTTTCTATACTCCTTTTTCATTTCATATCTAACTAGCCTATCACCCGTACTATGCACGAGATAATTATAGATATTTATATTTGTTTTAGATTTTTTTTAATATATAAATTATGTTTTTTAAGATTTTTTATAAAAATAATTTAACAATCTTATCACTAACCATAGTATATGGGAGAAGTTGAAAATAATACTGCAGTAATTATACACGGATTGTATGTATAATTATTTGTATAAGGAGATTTTAAATGCTGATCAGGGGATTTTGACCACATCAATAAATGTAGGCATGTGGAAAGACATTTGGATTGAAAAAAATTAATAAATACTGATCAGAGAATTTTGACCAAATCAATAAATGTTGAGTTTTTTTTAAATAAAAAATTTTAAAAATTCAGAAATTAATAAATGTTGATAAGGAGATTTTAACCAAATTAATAAATGCTGAGTTTTTTTTTTAAATAAAAAATTTAAAATATTCAAATTGAGATATTGAAACTTTCACAGGCCTTGGGAGTTAAAAATCCCCTTTTACTTAATATATAGTACTAGCATATCACCCGTGTTATGCACGGATTGTGTTTACAATTATCTATATATGTGAATTGTATTTTTTTTTTTAAATGTCTTTTTTTTCCCCTTTTTATATTATATTAAAGTTTAATATTTTGATAATAATCATATGTGTTGGACTTTTCAATGAATTAAATGTCTTCTTTTATTATTATATTATATTAAAGTTTAATATTTTGATAATAATTATATGTGTTGGACTTTTCAAGAAATTTTTTTTATGATTGTTCTTAATGCATTAAAGTGTTATTATGAGGAATAATAATCATATGTGTTGGGACTTTTCAAGGAATTCGTATGTATTGGATTTCAAAGAATTTTTTTTATGCTTGTTCTTAATGCATTAAAGTGTTATTATGAGAGTAAGACTTGGGAGTTGTTAATAAAAACTAAGATTTTTTTTTTTTTAAATCAAAAAATCAAAAAATTTAAATTGAATGATTGAAACTCCCATAAAATTTGGATTTAAAAACTTCCATTTATTTAATATATAGGATAGATACATCATATATCATCACATCAAGGAAGGAGATTGCTTTTCCAAAGCAATAAAAGAGAAATGCTCAGCAATTTGTCCACGGAAGACAAATTAAGCAAGAAATTGAATTATAATAAACTATTTTTTAGGTTGAGTTAAGAAAATGAGAAGCGGAACAATAAACATTTGCAAAAAACAAATTATATATTTTTTATTCATTTACTCATAAAAATTATTATTTATGACTTAGTTTTTCTTTTATTTTTTTGAACTTTACTTGTTTTCTCTTCAAAAATCCAAATATTACAACTTAGTTATTTTACTGTTGTTGATTTTACTTAAAATTGACTACAAAAATTGAATTATAAAATCAAATATAACCCTTGGACTAACACATTTAATGAATCTCACTTCATATGTATGGAGAGAGTCATATTTAGTTCTATGTTCGAATTCTGTGTGTTTATTATTTTTTGGAACACTTACCGATAGGTTTCATATACAAAGTTCAAAACTTATTCCAAGAACAAAACATTCACAACAATTAATCCTACATATTTTAAATTGTTATAAAAAAAATCCTACTTTTTTTTATAGAAACATAAAATTAAAGACTACTGCTACATCCCATCACTGCCGGACTTCCGTCAAGCGGTTACCAGAGACTGGCCACAATTTTCAACATCATCAGGAATCACTGAAGTATCGTCGAAAATTTGTTGGAGTATCGTTGGCATGTTATAAACGTCACTGGAAGTCGCCGAAATGTCTAGAACTATTGGAATAATCTTCTGTGTAAAATAAATAATGTGAAACAAATCAAACAAATAAAAATAAATTACTTAACGAATTTATTTTACCAAAATGAATAAGTACATAAATAGATCAAGTCGAGTGTGTGACACTCTGTCCTTAAGACAGATTCGCCTCACTTCGATGCTTACAAATAAAAGGCGTCTATCTCCTAGGATACAATGATCTTTACACAGATTGTAGTAACACTCCAAACAATCTATACAGCGACATAGAATGTGTGTTTCATATATTCTCAAAAGAGAGAGCAAAAATAGGAAGAGAATATGATTTCTGGATATTAGAAATACTGGAAAAGGTCTGCTTTTATAAGCAGATTAGTGACCATTCAGATTTGTCCGAACAGGTATGAAATTTGAATAAACAGATCTGTTTTTGAAATGAACGGGTATGGTTCAAACTGAACAAGTATGGTTTGAAATTGAACCTATTTGGTACACTGTTTGAATCTATCCGCTGGACTGTTTGAACTTGGACCAGAAGGGCACTGTTTTGGATAGAAAATTGAATTCAAATTTGACGCAAAATTTGAATTACTTTGGTTTAGAAAAATTAATTTTTCGGCAAAAATTTTTGGAAAAAAATCAAATAAATTAATATTAGAATGACCCGACCCACAACCCACACCCACACCTACGCCCGGCACGGCCGGCAGGCGGCGACGCGCACGTGAGGTGGTTTGAGCCAAAGGTCACTTTGTCTATAACTTCTCATTTCTACAAACTTGGGGTGTCTCTTAGGGCCTAACCCAAGTGTTACCATCTAAAGCTTATATACATACACAAGCTCTCTTAAAGTTTTAATGTGGGATAAGCCTAACAAGGAAACTCACATTTTATTCTTTAATTATCCATTCCACGAATCCGAAAACGACATCAACTTCCCATTCACTCATAAATTGTTTTGACAAACCGTCTTCACCGTGTAACTTGCCATGTGACAAGGAATACGTCACCTCTTTACACCAACCCCAAAAAACGTATGGGACCCACACAAATTTGGACTCAAAGTTGGCCCAAAATAAGCCTATAAAATCATAAATTCCAACAATCCCTCACATGAATGGAGTTTGACGGAGACAAAATGCAACAACATAATCTAATTACAGAGAGTACAGAAATTAGAAATATTTGGCAAAGAATAGGTAGCTTTTGGCTTTGAATCTTCCCTTGTAAGACACTATCGAATTTACTAGCTAACCAGTGAACATGATGTCTTGAACTGTTCAGCCGTTTGTGTAAACCAAGACAATAGAACTCACACAGTATATCACCAGACACAGTTTAGTTCTCACTATTGTGTTCATTTTAGCCCTGAACAACTTGGTCTTTCATGAGTGCTCTAGAGCATTGTAACCCTTCACAAATCTCATAGAACCGGCCCAGTTCACACTCATATAGATGATTCTTATGAAGAATATCATGTCATACTCCACTAGGTATTCCTAGATATAAGAATCATTAAAAGTATTATTTAACCTAAAACGCTGCAGACATCACTATTTCATCATAGAAATGGGTAAGAATTTAACTCCCTAGTGATTCTTATGAGTCATACACAACTCGGTTGTTCCTTTGAACCTAGATCTTGGAATCTCCAGTCAACTAGGTTGGGTTGCCGTTGTGGTAACTCTTATTTAATAGGCTTAAGTCTCATTCCCCTCGATGAATTCTTAACTAACTCTCTTGTTGACCCTTTGGTTAGTGGATCCGCTATGTTGTCTTTAGACTTCACATATTCAATAGAAATAATTCCATTAGAGAGTAGTTATCTCACAGAGTTATATCGATGACGAATGTGTCGCGACTTACCGTTATACATATGCCTTTGTGCTCTACCTATTGTTGATTGACTATCACAATGTATGCATATAGTAGGCACCGATTTTCGCCACATTGGAATATCTTTAAGAAAGTAGCGAAGTCATTCTGCTTCTTCCTCAGCTTTATCTAAAGCTATGAATTCTGATTCCATAATAGACCTAGAAATGCAAGTTTGTTTGGAAGATTTCCAAGATACAGCCGCCCCACTAAGAGTAAAGACATTCCCACTGGTGGATTTTGAGTCTCTAGTATCCGATATCCAGTTTGCATCACAGTATCCTTCAAGTACTGCTGAATATCTAGTACAATTTAGCCCAATGTTATGAGTAAATCGGAAATATCTTAGAACCTTTATAATAGCTTTCCAGTGTTCTACTCCTGGATTACTCGTATATTTACTTAATTTACTTACTACATAAACTATATATAGGCGAGTGCAGTTCGTCAAGTACATTAAGCTTCTAATTATTTGGGCATACTCTAATTGAGAAATACTTTCCTGTACATTCTTAGAAAGAAACAAATTAACATTCACAAGTGTTCTAGCAAGATGATCATCATCTTTGCTAAATTTGTCAAGTATTTTCTTAATGTAATGTGATTGTGACAAAGTATATCCTTCTAATATTTTGGTAATTTTCATACCAAGTATTACATTAGCAATCTCCATGTCTTTCATGTCAAAATATTTATTCAACATTTTCTTGGTAGTTTTGATCATGTTATTATTACTACCTATGATGAGCATATCATCCACATAAAGATATACTATAACATAGCCTTTGTTTGTGTTTTTAATATAAATACATTTGTCACATTCATTAATCTTAAATCCATTTGACATCATTGCCTTGTCAAATTTCTCATGCCATTGCTTTGGTGCTTGTTTTAAACCATATAATGATTTAATTAATTTACACACTTTCTTTTCTTTTCCTGGAATAAAAAATCCTTCTGGTTGTTCTATGTAAATTTCTTCATCTAACTCACCATTTAAGAAAGTGGTTTTCACATCCATTTAATGAATTTCTAGATTATACAAAGATGCAATGGCAATTAGCATTCTA